CCTACCTAAACAGGGCTTTCTGGTAAATCAGGAAATTCAATTAAAATAATAAAATAATAAATAAAGTTTTCTATTTAAAGTCAAGTTTGGACTGCAGAGAAAATCACACTTTTGACTGACCAAATCAGCTCCGATTTGGTCTCAAAATGTGTCTTTTTAAAGTTTTACATGCTTGCTTCAAATCCTCAAAAGGAACCTTCCTCAGAATATGCCATTTTGGCCTTCAAAATAACCAAAATGTCCAAAAACATCAATTTGGGAAAACTACGCTGTTAACACTTATTTCTTTGCCATGATCAAACGACTTGGAATTAAATTCTAGAATTTTGACAGAATTATTTTGGAAGACTCATGAACCTGTTCCAATTTGAATTACTAAAAAATTCCTCTGTTGCATCACTTTATGACCAAAGTAGAATCGCACGTCCTGTAATAAAAATATAACACTAATTATCTAAATTCAACCAAAATAATAAATAAATTATTACTAAAATAAGATAAAATATTATCTTTTATACACCAACTCTGCAAATTCTAACCTATAATTCTGCTGATATTTTAATTTGAGTAATGTTAGGGAGACTAAATTGCAAACCAAATGATGTGTCACCAATAAGAAACAAACACGTTAACCGACATTTAATTAATAATCCAATCATCTCCAACTATATCATTTAGTTTGCAAATTTGGTTTAAAAAATTTAGTTTCTTTTGCTTTGCTGTTTTAATTTTATGTTTTTGTCTTTCTGCAACAACAAAAGTACAAACACGTGTACCTCGCATGGAAAACTTTCAATCAAACCTTTATAATATCATTGCTAGGGGAAATTAGATCGGGATATTTGATTGGGTACTGAAATTGTTCTGGTTCATTTCTTATCTTGCATGACATTACAATACGTAATATAGTATATCACTGAAAAACCATGAATTAGATTGATGCCCTATTCATTTTTTTTTAAACAATTGATGCCCTATTCATGTCCTTATCGTTTCATGACTATTTTGGTTTATAATTTTTCTCGGTCGAAATAAGTAAACAAGTTACATGTCAAAAGGAAAGAGAATCGAACTCCAAGAAGAATCATTAAATTTTTTTCTCCTTAAGGTTTTGTCAAGGACCAAACCATGCGCTGGGTTGTTCATTCGTCGGTACCCTAAGTGGGAATATTATACGTTTCTCCAAGAGATACCCAGTGGGCAGCAGCTGGTATCTAAAAAAGAAATTGAGAATTTAAGAACATACGAGGTGGTAGTCACGGGGTGATTGGTTAATTTGTGGGCTGCTGTTGCAATGTTGCCTTCAATACATTAACATGATTGGCCGGCGTGAGCGCAGCTGCCGGTCAGGTTCTTTCTGTCCCGGGCCAAACCTAAGATATAACAATATAAGGACAAGGATTCTCTCCGAATTCTTTTTGTGGAGATTCAGAGGATCAATCAATCATGTTCGTTCATTATACATCGTGTGGTCAGTTTTCGTTAGGTACTATTTATATTCAATTTTAAATTTAAATTTTAAAATAAATTTTAACCACACGATGTACGATAAACGGACACGATTAATTGATCATCCAGATTCTCACAAAGAGAAACCAAAGAGGATCCAATTCCAAAATATAATACTGTTACTACTTTCCAAGAAATCTTTGTGATACCTTATTAGTTTTTGGCATTTTCTTGTTTCTTGTTTCGACACATTAGAATTGGTATCTGAATTTTGAAAACACGTAATTGCTTACGTGAATAGGTAATGGTGTTCACGTGAGTGCCAAGCGGAATAAGAGGAAGGCGGAATAAGAGGAAAGTAGGCTTTTTTTTATTTTTTTTTATTTTTACAAAGGAAAATGTTAATATGTTAAATAGTTAGTTGTTAGATGGGAGAGAGTATCGCACTGTACCAATTTCTTATAAGCCCTTGTGAAGTTTCTTCTTCTGTCGATGTGAAACTCTTTTGGATGCATTATTTTGCTCACCACTATAACTATGATGTATGTTCACCATACACCTAATCATTTGTCATGTATTTCTTTACCTAACTCTAGTTAATTTTCACATTAAATATTACTTTTTTAAGTTGAAAAAAAGATAACCGAGGTTAAGTGAAAAAACATGAGGCAGATGTTTAGGCGTATGGTGAATATATACCAAAGTTTAGGGTGGTGAGTAAAAATGCTCCTAACTCTTTTACCTTTATATCTTCACACGCCCTTCATGTGATGTATTTTTAAGCTAAACGCATGGACAACACGAATTGGGTGAGGTGGAGCACGTGTGACTATTGAGTTTCACACGTGGGCCAACCTACTCTAATACCATGAAGAAAATTGAGATTCCATCATAAAACCAATTGACAATATGAGAAGTAGTTTAACCTCTTATAAACCCTTATAAGGTTTCTTCTTGCACTGATATGAAATTTTTTTACCTTAACATTCTCACAATGCCACTGCAATAAAGATCATCTGCATTAGGCTTTTGATTAAGGTAGTTTGACTTTGAGGCCACATCAATATTTTATAAACCGTGAAGTGTTGATATTTTGGAGAGAGGGAAAATAACCTTGATAGAATAAGGCTGAGTACTATCTTCAGCTTCAACATGGCAAATTTCTGGCCCAAGCAAAACCGACTCCCAAAACCAAATGGCATGTATGATTGGGGATACTTGCATGCTTCTGAGACCCCATTTGCAAACCTCTCCGGATTAAACTCATTGGCATCCGAACCTCACTTTCGGGGTCCCGGTGCAATGCTGGAACGAATGTCCATATCGGATGCCTTCTGGCACATCTAAGTCCACCCAAATTTATTTCCGCAAGAGCTTCCCTTGCTATTATGACTCCGGTTCCATAGAGACACAAGCTCTCATTAATCACCATTGTCAGCTGTTAAGTGTAGGACTTAGATTTGACTTTTCTTGACCAAAAATGTAACTTTTATTCTTGCATTATCATACCAAGCTCTAGTTAGGTCTTAAGATAGTGATAGGACATTGGTGAAAATTAAAAGGTGATGAAGATCTCAGCTCAATCTTCATTGAACAAGGTTTGCTTCATGTATATGCCTCACAAGTTAGCATTTTTGCGGTTTTTTACTTGTGTTTTCTGCTTAGTCAAGTTTGGACACGTGCATTTCTTAAAAGGTCATGTGACTCGTCTTATCTTTTACTCAATCAGCATTTATCCTTTTATTCCTGTCCTATCTCTGTGAGATGGTGTTTTTTGAGACAAATGTATGCATGCAATGTGTGATAGGGTAATTATAAGTTTTCTCCGAGGGGTGTGATTATCCATGCTTCATTTTTTACTTTTCACATAACCTTTTAATTTTCGACCGTCAGATCGGATAAATTGAAAAAAAATCAAATGACAGAAATTAATAAAGAATGTGAGAACTAAAAAAGAGTGTGTGGATATCACGCTCCTTTCTCCAAACCAACCTAAAATTGAGAAACCCAAACAGCAAACTAGGTGTCCTCGAAGAGAAGAATCTTTGGAAAAATCTCGTTGCCTTGGGAATTAGAGCTACCAAAACAAGCCCTTGATATGATATCAGAAGAAAAGCATTTCAAATCCTCAATAATTATCATGTCCACAACTCCTCCCTCAAGTATAAAGCTCTCCCGCTTGTTAATTATCGCCATGGTCGATTCCTCCATCAGACCCATCACTGCCTACAATTCTTTACCGTTTCAATCGCCACACATGCCTAAACTTCTGGAGGAAAGCCAATTTATCCTATGTACTTTCAGTTTGGTTATGAGCCAAGCCCCTTTAATCTTTTAAAACATCTCTATTTGTTCTAAATGTCAAATTAGGAAAATGATAACATCATTCTTTTACCCTACAAACTCATGTTTAATATGGTCTGCTGCTTCAGTCCGCTATGTTCGAACTCAATATTCAAAATCAAAAAAGATGTATAAGAGGAGAAAAATAGTGTTTGGTTGTCATTTTCCTAAAGTTACCACATTTTCTAGCATCCCTACTTGAATGGACAAACACAACCTTTATCTTATGAAAAAATTAACCGTAAAGGGCAAATTGACACGTTATAGAAGATAAGTAGGGCTAGCTTAGATCCAATTTGAAAGTCCATCTCTAGAGGTTCCTCTAAATGTTATAGAACAAGAATCTACACAACATACAGTGAAAAGGGTATTCTCTATATGCCTTAACCTTGTGAAGGAAGAACTCAGGAGCAATGAGTTTCTTTCTGGTAAGCCCCTTCGTGCCCGTTCGCTCGGAGAACATTGTCACCTAACAAGTGATGACCAGCATATCACTACAACCTGATCAAAACCCTCTGCCATCTCTGAGACAAAACTATGGTTTTGCTAATATTTTTTTTTTCCACACTTTTTGGGCTTTTGATTCTGGCTTTTGTGCCTTTTTCTTATTTCTGCCGTTTTGAGCTTTTTTCTTACTCCCACCCACATTCAATGCTTCCTAAAACGTCAGGGGAGCAAAGGTTTTTCTTTTTATTTTATAACCACAATGTCGTAGTTTCGAAAAGTATAGGGCATAAGGTGTTCAAATTGAATACATGCATGTTTGGACGAGGAATTTTCCAAGTCCTAAGAGATTGAAGTCGAGTTATTTAGGAGTGGATTACAAAATGTGAGATAAATAGAATTATAAAGATTTTTCATAAGCATCACATGTGAAAGAGATTTGTAATGAGTTCGATCATTTATCGCATTTATCGATCATGCTGCAGGCAAATAAGCTTATAATTAACATTACATTTATAAAATTTATTGACCACATTGCATATTGTAGAACTGGGAATAGGTTTCACTTTTGTTTACAAGTAGTTTAATATTGTAATCATTGTTGATGCCAAAAAATGGTTCAACTGAGGTCGATCGGGTGATTGGTCAGTTGGGAATGCTAGCTGCTTTCAAAGGTATTTTAACATTTCCGATCGATCAAGCACTTGACATAAATGGAACCTTTTTTTTTCTGGCATCAACAACCTTTCTTGAACCAGCTTCCTTCATTGCACACGCCTAACAAGAAGTTTGATTCCATGTTTAGGCAACAACAACATTTTGTAAACAGGAGAGTGCTGATAGTTTGGGGAAAGGGCAAAGGAGAACTTGGATAGAATAAGAGAGAGTACTATCTTGAGCTGCACCATGCTAAAAGTCTGGCCTATACACAATCGGCTCCCATAACCAAATGGCATATATGCTTGGGGATATTTGCATGCTTCAGAGACCCCATTTGCAAACCTCTCGGGCTTGAACTCATCAGCATCCGGACCCCAATTTTCGGGGTCACGGTGCAGTGTCGGAATAAAGGTCCATATGTGGACGCCTTTCGGCACATCCAAGTCCCCCAACCTCACCTTTTCTAGAGCTTCCCTTGCCACTAAAACTGAAGGTGCATAAAACCGCAGGCTCTCTTGAATCACCATTGTCAGCTGCACATACACAAACATTGTAGCAACAATTTTGAATCACTACTACACAAATGGCCTTTTCACATAGACATAGGATTTATGTGTATTGCTTTAACACACCAAACCGTGTGAAGGAAAAAGTATAATATTTATCAAATACTTCAGAGAATTGTAATTAGCACTATAAAAGAGTGTGTGATGGCAGTATTGTCAATCGAGTTGTATACATGGTAATAACACAACAAATGGGTAATGTTAGCTTGTCAGACAAGACAATGAATATTGTTCATCCAAATTCACAGTTCAGCAACAAAACATCTTATGTCATCATATAGTATGACAAGAAAACAATTTCCCACAGTAAATAAAACAAGATGAGAAATCAACTTACGTACCGTTTTCAAGTTGTTCAATTTATCCGTGTCTTTCAAGCAATGATGCAGTTGATAATCATCTCCACAGACTTCAGAAATCTCGGCACGAATACGTTCTTGCCACTTTGGGTGTAATGCCAATAGCATCAATGTCCAGGAAGCTGTAAGAGCAGTGGTCTCAGAGCCTGCAAAGTAGATACTTCTACAATTGTCTAGAATAATTTGGTCTGTTTTGTGAGTGTTTTGATGCATGTCACTGCTAGTACTTGCAGCACTTTCCAGTAGCATTTGTAATAGGTCCTTTTTACATATGCCACCCACTCGGCTTTGTTTTTGGCGATCCCTCACTAATTTGAGCAACAAAGCGTCCACCTCTTTCCTCAAAGTCCAAATCTTCTTGTCATTCTCTGTGGGAAAGAAGCTGCATGGAGGGCAGCAGATGTCAAATCTAACATTTACTTTGATAAAAACAGAATAGAATAAAAAAATGAAGAAAAAAAAACAAAGGATATATACTTCCTTCCTTCCTTGCCAGTAAGGAAAGTCCTCCCCGATTTGACATTATTTCACAGTACAAATGGGTCATAATCAGAATCATTTTTTTATCATCACTTAAACGTCGTCTCCAAAAAAAATTCAATTTGGGGACTGTTGAATCTTTCACATGAATCATCAATTTCTTCAGTTCGTATGGATGATTAAACCATCTCCAAGTTAAATGAATTTTTCCAAAAATGATCTTTAGATGATAACAAAAATAATGAAAGATTTTGATTATGACTTTTCCTACTTTATTAGAAATGAGGGAAGTATAATCCAAAGCCAAATATTTGTCCACGGCACTCAAAGACTACACAACAAGAAGACAACAAACAAAAGATGAGAAGAAAATTACAAAAACATGCATGTCGAAAGAAAAAGAAAAAAAAAAAACGAACCCAAAATTGATAACCCTAAAGAGCAAAATTGGATTTGACAAGGCCTCCTGGAGGAGAGCAATCTTTGAAAAAATCTGGTTGCCTTGGGAGTAAGTGCTACCAAAACAAGCTCTTGATATGATATCAGCAGAGAGGGTCTTCAATTCTTTATCGACTATTATCTCCAGAACACCTCCCTCACTTTTTAGTAAACGTCTTTCCCATGTCTTAAGAAGTGCCACTGCAGATTCCTCCATCATATCCATCATGCCCTACAGTACTCTCCAATATTTGAATTACCAAAACATGCCTTTATAGTTTTTAAAGAACAAGAATTTAGACTGCTTAGTCTACTTCTTTCATCACGTGATACTCACATGATTGGAGAGGTAAGCACATGGATGTATACAATATGTGCTACCTAGGGAAGCTCGTTGAGTATGTGTTACCTTGACCTTGTTAAGGAAGAATTCGGGAGCGATGAGTTTCTTCTGGTAGGCAAAATCTTGTCCGTTGGCCCGAATTATGCTGTTGCCTATCAAGGGCAGGAGTGGCTTACTCAAATATTTCGGTACACCCAAATCCATGTAGTTTTGCAGTTTCAGCTCCTTTAACAACTTGGGATCACCCACATACATGTGTTGTTTGCTCCCCGTTGAGTACATGTATACTGGACCTGCATATATATAATTGCATTCATCAAATTATATTAATAACTTTTGTTCTCAATCAATTTGGTCCAAATCAAGTTGCTCTGAGTGGTAGGAGGGTACGCTGCTGTAGCAATCAGATGATTTCCTAATGTGCAGTTATGCTTGCCTAATTCTCATACCCTTTGCTGTATATATACATATATAAGTTATCAGAAAATATGTTTCCTGTAATTTACTTATTGTACTGTACAGTACCTACTGGGTTATGCAAGTATAATTAGTTTCATACCGTACTTCTGCTCCCACCGCTGAAGATACGGAAAGATGGAGGGAACCCAATTGTGCTGGAAATCTTTAGGATCAGAAGGTTCATGGATGATGTTGGTGGTGGATTGAATCTTTTGCATCTCTGTCATATTCCCAACAAGGAATGAACGTGGTGGCCCTCCGATGCCTTGCTTCCGAAGCACTGACCGGATCCTCGCAGGTTTTAGCCACATCTCCTTGAACAATCGCATCACTACACTCAAAACACCGATCAACACAAGTGACCAACATATCATTGCTACCTGAAGACCCTCTGCCATGATCTCTCACTGCTTATGAGTTATGAGTGCATGGTTTTATATAGGGCCATTTACATTTAGGCCTCACAACTCTTAAATTCTGGACATAAACTCACGTATATTAAAATTTTATTAAAACTCTTACAACAATGCCATGTAAGGTAAAAGATGTCCATAAATTTTATTTTACAAAACAATGTGATGTCTGTTACGTGTTTTTTCTAGACATTAAATTTTGTTTTTGATGGTCAACAACATTTAATTTGTTTTTAAGTTCTTGTTTGTTTTTTTGTAAAATAAACTATTAGATGCATTGTTTCTAGTAAAAATTAAACAATAGCGACACTGTTTTCATAAAAAATTAAACAGTAAGTAAAATATATTCGTTTCAAACAATAGGTAGATTAAACAGTGATAAAATATAGGAAAATTAATTTTGAATCAAGGGACTAGCTACAATATTATGTATTTATTACAATTATTGTCTAACTATTGAGATAATGATTGTGTTAGATACATGTCGAGATCGTGCTCATTAAAAAATGAGTTCAACCATTAATCATCACATCATTTATAATTTACAAAAAATGATTTAAAAATTTAATATTCCTAACATTTTTAACATTTATTAAATCAATGACGCTAATAAAACTGTACATTAATATTATACACTTTTTTTTTCTTTGCTCTTTTAGGTTTTTCCCAAGCACCAAACACATTATATATTAGCTTGAGTAATTATATATTACGTGAACATGGAGGAATCCATTGACTTAAGAGTTTTTTATTTGCTCAAATGCTAGTGCTATACTGAGCAGCCTTGATTTCATTATTTGGCCGACGTGAGTTAAGCTGAAATTAAGGAATTTTTTATTCATCTTACCTCCTCTTTCACTCGTTCTCAGACAACGTTGGGCTAACGATACACTTAAAAAAGCTCATTCTAAATTTTCATGTATCCGTTGCTTATATTTTGAAAAATGTTAGGAAGACTATGTTTTTAGACTATATTTGTAAACAACATGATGTGGTTGTTGAAGGTTAGATATCTTTTTTAATGATTTAAAAGGGAATTCAATTCTCAATTGCCTGATCATATGATCTACAAAATATTATCTAAGTACATGAGATCTCTAGCATCACTTCTATATTTGAGTCACTTCAGATTTAATATGTCGTCATCGTAGGGTTGTTGTTGGTTACTTTAATTATTTTAGGCTAAATAGCCAAAATGGTCCATGAGATTTGCATAATCAATGGTAATGGTCCCTGAGATTATCTACCGTCCATGATTTTGGTCATTCCATTAAAAACTCTTCGGGCAATTTTCAAAGCTTCGTAACTCAATCGATTCTTAACTAAATTCACCCCATAATATATCAAAATGAAGATAGGAAAGTGTAGAACAAGATTATACCATTTGGAAGCCCAATGTTTGCCGGAGATAGCCGGAAAATAGCCTGAAAGGTGACTGGTTTGTGGAAAACTGGAAAACTCGCCGGAAACTGGGTAAACTTTAATCGTTCATAACTTCTTCAATACTCAACGAAATCGTGTGATTCACAAACTCGATGAGACCAAGAGAATGGTATCTTTGTCAATGGCTAACTCGTAGTGTTTTGGCCGGAAAACGGCTCGAAAGTGGCAAATCATTTTCGAGTTAGCCACTTTCGAGCCGTTTTCTGGCCAAAACATGGCTATTTAGCCATCAATAAAGGTACCATTATCTTCGTCTTGTTGAGAAGTATGATTTTCGTTTTTGAATCACTCAATTTCGTTGAGTATTGAAGACGTTATGAACGTTTAAAGTTTACACAATTTCCGGCGAATTTTCCAGATTTTCCACGAATCAGTCATCTTTCAAGCTATGTTTTGGCTATCTCCAGCAACCATTGGGCTTCCAAATAGGTATAATCTTGTTCTGTACTTTTCTATCTTCATTTTGATATATTATGGGTCGAATTTGGTTAAGAAACGATTGAGTTACGAAGCCTTGAAAATTGCCCAAAGAGTTTTTAACGAAATGACCAAAATCATGGGTGATAGACAATCTCAGGGACTATTTCTATTGAGATCTCAGAGACTATTTCTATTGATTTTCAATCTCAGAGACCATTTCTACTGATTATACAAATCTCAGGGACCATTTTGGCTATTTAGCCATTATTTTATTTTATCATAAAGATTCAAAACTCATTATTTTATTATTTTACTTAAAACATTGTATTTCATTTGAAGAGACATAATTCTTTTTTAAGGGGGTATGAGGAGTTCTTTGAATAAGGAATCTCAGATAGAAAACAACATACGTTAAAAATACTCTGTTTCCTTCACCCCTCATATTTCTATCATCATCAAATTTTCAAACCTACAATTCATGTGTTTTATCTTTGGGTAATTGATCACTATTTGGCAATTCCGTTTGTCATTGGCGTACATAGATAGCAAATCAGACATCTTGTGAGGCTTTATGTTGTATCTTGGAGTTGTAGGAACCGCCATAACCTACACGTGGGGAGACATCTACGACTTTAGGACAGTAACGTAGCGCCTCTCTTTGGTTCACAGGCTAGATTTTCTAATTCTCTTTTTCTCATTTAATTTGTCATAAAGCTAATCGTAATTATACATTTAATTTGTTATATTTGATTATATAAATTGTTAGCATAATTTTGCAATATATTTCACAGTTGCAAGGGGGAAGAGGCCTAAGAAAGAAAACGTAGCCCAAAATCCAATGAAAGAATAAGTTGTCCATATCATCCCCAACCATATTCATCTTTCTATAAATATGCTTGATCTCGCAATGACAAAGTTTGAGATAAGATCTCAACTAGCCAAAATCGAAGTGTACAAAAGCGTATGAAACTTAAGTAGCTGCTATAGTAGAATCTGACTCAATAAAATATTTAAGGACCCCAAAACTCCATGCTAATTGAAGATAAAAAAGATGGCCACATCTCAACCACCAAAATTTCACTATCAGAGTTGAATCTTTTCCGTTTATATCCATAATAAAAGTCTATCAATAAGTGTCTACATATTATTTTAAAGAAATTTGGTGACTAGAGTTTTACAAAAGAAAATTTTGAGAATATATATTTGGCAATCTGATGTTGTATTATACTTTTACTAAAGGTTGCTCGTAAGAGAAAGAGCTGGAGATAAAAATCTGATCGCAAATGGAAATAGAAGGTTAATGCGTTCACGGTTAATAGAATCATAGAGGGGTTTGAGTCGATTTATAGACTAAAGGTGTATTTGTTGAATATGAATGACACATCAAGTAGACTGCAGCAGGTTGTCTTCTCCTCTCCGTCTCTTCTTCTCTCTTTTTTTTTTATAAGATCTACCATCTGTTTATTTCCCTTCTTCCTAAAGCTTTTTTATCTTTTCAAACTCCAATTAGCTTCGTTGTCAGCAAAGATAACGATTGACAACTACAAGAGAGACACCTTGAGTGTTGTGAGCGGGGAGAGCGAGAAATTGAGACCTAGGGTTAGAACAAAAGGGGTTTACTTGTAATTGTAGAGTTGATTTGCCCTTGCTAGGTGTATTGATATTTTTCTTGTGGTTGATTTGGTTTGTTTGCATCATCATAGAGGCCGATAGAGGGCTGTTGTTGTTGCAAAAAATTAGGGTCTAATTGTTATAATAAATCACATAGAAAATCAAGAAATAATTTATGCAATTATATATCACAATAATGCATGCACATGAGTAACTAATGATAAATGAACATGATATAATGCATTAGAAAAACCTATAAAATACGGTCGAGGCAAGTGTTGGACACTTAGTCCTTAAGACAAGTTTACGTCCCACTACGGTGCTCATGGTTGATTAGCGCATGTCTCCCAATATACATCTACCACGTCCTTGTAATAGTAGCACTCCAAATCACAAGGCTCCATGAACCATGGTTGTGTTGAAAACTCTCTCATATGGACTCAATGAGACTCTCTAATATTTAATGCACTATATGCATGTATGATGAAAAGTTATCTTGTGATTATAGGGGGGCTTCCCTATTTATAGAATGTGAGATACCTCTTTGGAAAGCATATGACTATTTATGAAGAGTCAAAAGTTGCAACACTTCATTTAAGTAGACATATCTTTCTACCAAAAGGCTCTACTTCTAATTTCCATTCAATTAATAAATTTAATATAATAATAATATTATTAAATTTTCTAACAGTTGTAAGCATTCATACTATTGAGGTATAAGAAATGATAAAACCACTTCCAATTGGCACTATAAATCGTTTTTTTTTTTTTTTTTAAGGTGTGTTTGCTTTTGTTCGGTATTTTGATAACAAGATCTATGGAGAGATTTTGTACGACAAGTTCATTCCCTTATTTTACATAGGTTTTACAATATGTATGGCCTCACATTATGCCAATTAGGCCAGAAAATGACTTCTAAAGTATTTTTTGTTCCTAGATAAGTCCCTTCTATATTATTTTATGGTTATCATCGTACATACCAAAAGTGCAGGGACGATCGGTCGTTGGTTTTGGACGAACCGTTGTAACCTAAGCCTATAAATATAAATATAATTTTATGATGATTTTATTCTTTGTACGTGAAACACAAGGAAAATACTTTGAGAGATCGTGAAGGGCCCTGTGAGATATCAAGTAGGTTTTAGAGGAGCAAAGAGGTTCTTGTAACCAAAAAGACTTTTCATAATATAGTGAGGTATCTCAAGTAACACCAAAGTGGACGTAGGCAGAATCGTCGAAACATTATAAATTCTTGAATTCTTGGTGTGCATTTGTGCCCTTTTATGTATGGCGTTTTGTTTGTTTTGTATTATTCTTCTTACTTGTTCGTGTGAGTAATGGGACATTTTGGTTGTTTATTAATATTCTTCTTACTTGGTTGTTCATGTAAGTGATCAAAGTCCATCGAAAACAAGATCTTGTTAGAAGAGTTTGTGCATAAAAAAATATTCATGTGAACCAAAACTAAAACCACACTACAACAAACATGTGTATACGTCAAAAGCCAAAATTAATCAGGACATGGATGTTTGTTCAAATGAAGTTTTACAGTGAGCAATTGCAGCCTGAATTGAGGTTTCTCTTGTATGAAAGCACACTTTATTACTATGGTCATCACCTGTGAATCCTTGGTGAATTGGGGAGGACTTAATAGAACTTGGGCAGCTCCTTGTTCTTCTTTGTTTCCGACCAGTACCACCTGTGCTCATGCTATTTCCTATAGCTTCTAAAATCCCTCTAACTGCGCTCAAGTTTATCTCCAATAATACTCTGGACTTTTCACCTCCTCCTACTGCTTCTGAAGAGTTCTTGGTCCTGCTGCTTTTCCCTTGCTTCTTTTGAACCGACCATGGAAGAGCATTGCTGCCACTCTCTTTCGAGTTGTTATTCTTGCGTCGACAATTAATGTTTTGGGATTGGTGAGGATCGTCATCGTCGCAAGCAGCTTGGCGGGGTTTTGCAAATGAAGCTACCAGGGCTCCAAGATTCATGGCTCGGAACTTGAAGAGCAACTTCATGATGCCACCTTTTCTTGAGGTTCTTTTGTTTGATGTTTTCCTTTATTAGTTTCATGCAAACACATGCCATCTGGTAATTAGTAAAGGGTATTAAATCTATTTGTAAGCGGACATTGTTTAGCCTTTTTCTAGAATTGACTTATTTTTTATTAATGCAAATTACATGTTGACAACATATATATCTATATGCAGACAAAAAAAATTATACACGTGTAAAAGTGTGATTGAGCTAAATATGTAAAAATACCTACTTAAATTTAAGAATAGAGCCAGATATCGGCCTCGTTACACAAGTTGTTAATGATATGACTGTTGCACAATAACAAGTACATATTTTATAGTTTTGGTGCATTCACACTAATTTTCAACGAAATGAACAACTATTATAATAAAGACATGGGTTAATTAAGTTGTTTATTAGTATCGCATACCTGCTCCGTTCCAGGTCAGCGTCGTCCGCAGGGGTAGGTGATTCCGATGATGACCGGAGACCAAACAGCAGCGTGTTGACTAGCCGGTTGACTCTGGGCAATCTTACTTTTGTACTAGTACTTCTGTTGAGCCTTGAAGGCTCATCCGATCCTAGCGGACCCCTACAACTGCCTTCCATGGAAGAAGAATCGAGAGGGCAAGAATATGATACTGTCGGTGACGACGGAATATGGTTTATTGGGTGATCAGAAGCAGGCTTAGAGACGTGATTGGGAGAAAGGGTGGTGGCGGAGAGCTCCGGGAGAAGACTAGACGAAAACGATATGCGCAAGTAATCCGCATGGTCTAATCCTCCACGATCACGATCTTCATCCTCATCATCATCTTGGTTTGATGGTTTAGGATGATCATGGTGATGATGGTCAAGCGCTATTTCGATGTACGATTCACCGTCGTCATCATCGTCGTCGGTGAAATGTGAGAGGGAAGAAAAGTTCATGTCGGACTCGGAGCAGCTGAAGGAGAAACTTCCTTCATGGTTCATGATTTCCATCGCACGTAGCTGCTAGTTAAGGCCAAATGTTACGTACACAATATACATCTGTAATTATTTATATATATTGGGATCACGGATCAGATATATATATATATATAAAAGAATAATATCAGCATAGAGATCCATAGATATAGATAGAGATATGATATATTGCATGTGCATGGCCAAACCAAAGAGTGGGGGAGGAGGTTGGAAAGTCTCACTCCGAAATCCATGAATTAAGCTAGGAAATAAAATTTACAAGTAAGAAGTTAGGGTTGGTCCAAATAAGTACACTAGTACTAGCCGGTCACATAACGTGAACCATCCAGATTCTTGTTTAATGTTTGAAAACTCAAACCACGCATATACTAGAAAACCATTGGCAAGTGGTCCAAAAGTTGGTTGCTTGCATCAATCGACCAGAACTTGAGGATCGAATCCACAAATTCATGCAATTTTTTTTTTTTAAAAAAAAGTTAAATGTTAAGAGGACTCTCTCAAATTAAAATGAGATTTTTCATGAATTTTCTAATATATTTGACGCCAATTTTTATGTTAACATTATAAAATATTATGTCAAAAATATAAAATGATAGATAATACGTAAAGAGTTTCACTTTTGAGATACTCCCCGTAGCATTTGTCAACAAAAAAAACAAAAAAAAAAAAAAATGTTAGTCGTCCTTGGATTGCTCTTGAAACTCTAACTTCTTGCTCACGAGAGATTATGAAAACTATGATGACCCCACTTTTTGGTTGGTCAAATAAATGACATAAGATGAAACCTATTGGATGGAAGCTTCTAATCTTGGTTATATAAAATCGTAAGCAATTTCCGAAATTTGGGCTAAGTTGCCCCTTATACAAAAGGAAAATATATAATTTATCAACCTGCGGGACACCATCTTGTTCATTAATTGCGATTAGCATATTTTCTTTGATTGCTTCTTCAAAAAAAATTATCAAATTAGAAATTGTTTAGTCATTTATATATATCAAGCAATGATAAATTCAACATGACTACGTTACTTGATACTAAAATCGTCAATTTAATTAATATACACGAATGAAAAAACAATGTGCAATTTTTTTTAATTTTTTAAAAATAATCTTTAAATGATGATTAAAAGAATGAATTGTCCTAGTTTTATATAAAACTTAAAAAACAAACATATGCTAATCATAATAGATGAATCGGGCTCGATTACCAGCTAGTGCATTTGTTCGTTTCTTCGTACTGTCGAGATTTTCTAAAAAAATAAAAAATAAAAAATGAATAGGACACAAAAGAAGTTAAAGGATAAAGAGATCACGAATAGTAATCCTTCAATAGATTTCTGGAGCTCCAAAGAATAGAGATAAGCTCTCAAAATTTGATTAATAATATGAATGATTACAAACCTAATTAACATCAAGATGACCTATTTATAATATAATTTAACCCTAAAAATTCTAGGAATCTAAATGAGAAAGGAATTAACAAATGAAGAAAAATATTAAAAATGAATTGTTCATAAGCATCCAGCAATGACGATTGAATGCATTATCAAGTGTATTTTGTAATGAATATTAACGATGAAAATGGCATTTAAACTACAAATTTGTCCCCACATTATTGTATAGTCTGAAGATTTACATAATCTAATTAAAATGAAATTAACCAACCCCTGGATTCGAGGATTTTATCAGAATATTTATTTGTATGTACGTGTGTGTGAAATAATTTTGGAACAAATTCCAGATCCTACCAATTGGCATACAACCCTAAGAGAATATTGGAGAGGTTTTTTAGTGTGTTGGGAACACGGTCCGGTACAATGAGTGTCATAAGATAAGTGGCTGAAATTGTTTTCTAAATATTCAACCATTTATATTATAACACTTGTTTTACTGGATTGTATTCCCGACACACTGAAAAATTTATCAAGAATATGGACTTGTAATTATACCAGGATATTATTCCTCAACTTAAGGGATTGCGAACTTGCGATTGGTTTTTAACAGAGGCGACATTCTATTGTCATAGTGAGCAAAAATTCTGGAATAACAAGGAGAGCGTATAAAATAGAAGACAGTTAACAGCCAAGGGAAATTTATCAATGGAATTAGCTGTCGAAGACTGGTGGAGACAGCAAGAGTAAAACTGGTTCACCACCGACGTGTATCTCAGGCTACTAATATAAAGCTATGAGACTATTCTCAGTGGCGGATGCATTGAGGGTTAGGGGGGTCCTCTTTCTAGAAAGACAGAAAGAAATAAGGATGGTTGATCGCCATGGACTGAAAGGAAGTGAGTCATACACGCGGAGATGAGCTTGCGAATCAGCTGATCCATCGAACTTCGGTGAACGTTCATGGATGCCTTAGGTGCTGACCCTTCGAATTTTGGTGAATGTCCATGGATACCTTTGGTTCTGCCCTTTTGAAGATTAGAGTTGGCTTCATACATGCCCTTTTGATAAAATGTTTGAAAGAAGAGTGAATGAAATGGTGATCTCAGTGAATAACAAAGCATCATCATTCTTGGACAAATATATTAATGGGATGCAATGATATCAAACATTGTTAGTGTGGTTAAGATAAGTGTGTTTCTTTGTTAAGCATTCGTATAGGAGCAGCCTTGGAATATGTTAGTTACCCTCGCAAATGAGGCATTAACAGGTGTGCATTATGCTTTTCCAAATGACTTCAGGCCTACCAAGACTCTATGAAATGGCGATATGCGTGCTATTTCTGGTAAAAAAAATTTGCGCTCTGTGCGCACTATTCTTACTGACCCCCCTAATATTATTTTCTAGATCCGCCACTGCTTCTCAGGTGGCCTTGTATAGGAACACCATGACAGTGGTGAACTTGTTCCAAGACTCTTCCTATGATCTTGTGTTAGTGATTTTAGACACCACAATAACATTAATCTTGTTCATGTAAGTTTTTCTCTTCAAACTAACTAGTGGGGCGTTGCGTCTGTTTCAATCCTTCACAACAAGAGACAAGAGCCAAGCCAGCGAACTATTCAATTTTTAGTGATCAGACGACCTTTCACTTTGCTTGAAAGTTTACTTGCATTCATATAAAAGGAAAATGAATTGTTAAAGCCACTGTTAAAGCCACTGCTAACGTTTATTGACTTGTTTTTTAATTGATCTACTAGAGACCACATGGAATATATGTGATCACTTTTCGAAAACACAATAATTTATCTATTTCCAAACGATAATAGGCATTCGTGTCAATAGCATACATGAAGGTGGACGTCCCAATTATATTTGATCAATTAATATACAGACTATTTCTCAATCATTCTTAATTTAAGATTAATTACTTTTGAAGATAACCGGTGAAATATTATTGAATTAATCAACAATACCTCCAATACTATGTATTTAATTTATTTAAAAATTAATAACTTTCTTTCGTCGACATTAGCCAATCTAACTCACGTTGCATTATGTAAACATAAACAGGTTTTAAAAGAAAAATCGCATTATATAATCATAACAAGGTTTAAAAGAAAACGACAAAACATAGAAGGAAGCGAACATTTCATCATGTATGCATAAATGTACACAAGAAAAGTTTAATGAAAGGCATAAGAGGTTGAGTACAATAGCCAATGGCCCAATACCAATAGGGATATACACTCTAATCACTAACTAAAAAAAAAAAAAAAATTAAAGAGGAGTACTTATTAATCAATGCCATGAAAATGGAATTAAACTTGAGAAGCTAGCTAAATTACATGATCGAACCACGCATGTACGTAGGATCCATAAGCAAATGCATGTTGCATGTCAATGCATCGAGTCTAGTAGATTAAGAATATATAATTAAGTAAAAAAACATTCAGTGTACGAGAAATACATCCGGATATACTAAATATTATAATATAATTAGTGTACGAAACCGTGTTTCAAACACACTAAAAAATTTCTCTAATTAAGAGGAGGGAACAAGAACGGAAGTGCGCATCATGTGCTTAAACTCGAACAAGTCGACGAGGCCGTCATGATTATGGTCAACGGAGGTGATCATCTTCTGAACTCTATCAATCTCATTGCCTTCCTGGAATCCAAGCTTGGCAAGCACCGTCTGCAACTCTTTAGCCGATATGTACCCGTCGCCGTCCTCATCAAACACCTTGAACGCCTCCGAAAGATCCGACTCCTCTTGCGACAACATATTCTCCTTTGAGTTTCCGTCGCGTGCCGCTGTTGATGCTCCCTCAGCAGCGGAAGCAACAACCTCTTCGTCGTTGTTGTTATTGTCGAAATAGGTGTCATAGAGGGATTGGTGGAGGGAGAGGAAGTCGTCGAAGTTGAGGCCGTCGTTTGAGGGTTGGATGAAGGATTTTATCGTGGAATGGAGGTCGGAGATTTCAGTGTCTAACCCGAGAAGTGCTAGGGCTTGGCTGATCTCGTGGACAGTGATGAAGCCGTCTTTGTTCTTGTCGAACATATCAAAGATGCGGCGGAGGCGGAGGGAGTTGAGACTCGTGCAGCGGAGGCGAAACGACGCCGAAGGCCGTTTTAACGAAGGAGCACCAGTCCCTGAAACGGTAGAGGCCATATATAATTGAGTAATTAACTAATTATGTAGTAATCAGTAGGATAACGACGAAGACAGCAACGCCGACGACGGTAACGAAGAGGATGCAGATAACAAAATGTACAAGAGAAGTCTGGTATGGTGGGATGATCAACAAGTGGTGGTATTATTATAGAGGGCTGGTGCGCGTGTGGCCGGCGTTTTGGTATTATTTTAGTTTGTGTGTTTGTTTAGACTTTGTAAATTGTACTACTACATGATGCATTTTCCGTTGCCAGTGACTATTGCTCGGTACAACTTCCAGATGTTTGCCATTGCTTTTACATGGTTGAACAAGCAACTGCGTGACAAATTCTCCAGCCACAAGTCGGTCGTTGTTGACCCAAGGCGAGAATAAAAGTCCGTGGTCGACAACCAATAAAATTTAAAAGTAAAAAGAAAAAAGAGAGATAGAAAATGACCTGAGATTGGACTTTTTCGGTGTGGCTATACTAGAGATATTTAAATTTTAAATTAAATTTTATAAATTAAATAATGTGATTATTGATAATATGATTATTATTTAAATATTGATTAATGTGTTTATTTTCTATTGATGACATATATTTTGTTTTGCACATTTGGTTGGTCTCTCTGGCATTATCCAATTTGTCTAATTAGAGGTAGACCAACATGGGTTTGTGAATCCTATCTCTATTAGGCATGTGGTATAACGTGATATAAAAATAGAGAATTTTAACAAAAAGCTTACAGTACTGTTCACTTTAACGAAAAACTACATTTTTACACTAAAAAATCAATCCTTGTACTATTCACTTTACCCTTTATTTTGTCCTTATCGTTAAAACTCAAAGTTTTCAAACTCTTTTCATTAGTTTTCCTATAAAAATATGGTAAGTGTAATATTACTCTTCCTTATGTTGCACAATGATCTAAATTGTTTACTTTTTAATTTATTCTTTAAAAAATAAGCAAATCAAAAAACGTTTAACTGTTCAACTAAAATTGTTAACGTGATTTGTCTATTTTATTTTACTGAATAACCATAAACGACTAAACAATTTTAAATTTATTTTTGAATGGTAAAAAATTGATCTTAGAGAACAACTCAACAAATAAATTATTCAGATCAGGTGTGTAACATTGTAAAATAAAAAGAACACTCTGCAAATAAAACTAGAATGTTTAAATAAAAATGTCGGTCAATATAGTCGACAACGAATCTAGTTGAATAGTTGGGCCACGTGGCGCACATTGATGCAAGATATGGTCTAAGATACATGTCTGGCCCAATTGGGACAACTCGATTCGACCCGTACCCCTGCCTATACCGCACATGCTCAGGGTATTTATTTTAGGCGCGTTTCAAAGTTGACTAGTCTTTTTAGAGTGATATTCACATTTTTTTTTTTTTTTTTTTTTACTTCTCACATATTCGGTAACGACACGCCTTAACCTCGATATCCTCAAATATCAGGATAGACATGTGCTGGCCGACATCAGAGAATGACGAAACCATTAAAAACATGCATACCGATAAAATATTTAATTAGAAAGATATAAACCGATGCAGAATCGTGTTCAAAGCATACAACTACTAAGAATAATATGGAAGGAATTATTATGAAAATGTACGAACAAAGAAATGATACTTATACTGAGAAGACTCGAGAATATCTATATTGTAGAGTCCTGACGCCAGAATCATGTGCCTCAAATCTAAATCCTGAAGGGGGCGCAAAACTAGAAAAGGTGAATGGACCAAAATTTATAATATTAGTCCTAATAATAGGAAAACATTTTTATTTTTGAACACAATAACCCCCTGTTTTGAAAACATATATAATAATACATAGTAGGTTTTATAAAAACCCTAGCATGCAACGAAAAATGTTCGTAAAATCGATACATGTAAAACCATGCTCAAAAATGTTGAAAACGTAGCCCAAAGGCAAATCCGTAAATGTCATTAGTGAAGTACTCAACTAGGGGTGTCATAGTTGCCCGAAGGCAATAGCTGTCCATCACCCGAAGGTGAAGCTGAATAACATGTCCATCACCCGAAGGTGAAGCTGAATAACCTGTCCCATCACCCAAAGGTGAAGCTGAACAACCTGTCCATCATCTGTAGGTGAAGCTGTATAAAATAGCATACATCTACACTGATAGTAACCGTGGCTAGTGAAGCTATCTGACACCGCTTTCAGCGATGAAGCTAGGGGTATATAATATATCATATCTCACTCCCCCATCATCTGTGTCCTATGGCCATAGACAATACCCGTAGTGTGCGGATGTGCCATATGATAATCCACTAGATAAGCACTAAAAATATATTTCAAAATCTTGTATCAAACATCAAATCTCAAAAGCTCAAACCTCGTCTCATAAATCCATGGAAAATCTCATTCATAAATCCTAATAAACATATACGTGAATCCATAGAATTTCATAACCGAAAATCCAGTGATTCATAACATTTAGTAATATATAAATCCGCTAAATCATAATTACTACGTAAAAACAATTTAAATAAATCAAAAGTAGGAAAATCTGTAAAACATATTATAAATCATGCTCTGTTCATAAAATATGTAATGCATGCTAGGCTACTATTTTATAAAAATATATAAGTTATGAAGGGATCCACTCACAGGTTTTCCATTGCCCGAAAGTCGCTCGAACTATCGAAAATGTGATCACTTCTCGCCAACACACCTAAACATAATTAGGGACCTTTTAGTAAAACTCCACTAAAACGTTATAATTTCGAAAAACATATGGCGGATTCGGATTCAACACGTCGAGGAAACTCGGGTTTTTCCTCCACGCGCCGCTGCGCATGGCGGTTGGCCGCCCCTATTCATCGGAAAATCCGATATCTCCAAAAATTTCCAAATTTAACAGGAATAAAGATCTTGATAAGTGGAACAACTTTCATACCTGCGACCAAGGCCAATTTTCCCGGGAAAAGCCCCAATTTCATGAAAACCCGCCATAACCCTAGATTTGGGTGTGCTTTGATTCGAACTCCGGCGCCCCCAAACTTGTTTGGGCTTTGTTCCTGGGTTCAAGGTGAGTGGTTTGACGGTGGTAATGACTATTTTATCCCTATTCTTACTCGCCCATAACTTTTTCATTATAGTTCCAAATCACGTTCTGTTTGCGCTACTACCTGAATACGCCAAGAAAACAGATTTTATGTGACACGACAAGATGGTCAACAAAAGTCAACGTATTTGCTTCAAAAGGCATTTTTGTAAATTCACATTTTAAAATTATAAAAACTATAATTTTTTTGGGATGGGTCGTTACAAGTAGCCTGTTCTTTTAGGGCCTGGGAAGACTCATAGAAAAATTTCAACCTTATGTCATCATCGTATGATTTACCAATGTTAAGAATCGAGTCAAAGATGTACCGTGTGAAGTACGAGTTTGTAATTCTATTGACCCCAAAAACTACCAAGCTTACGTAGAGCGCAGGCTAAGTAATTAATAAGTTAACTACATCCTTCGGTTGTGTGCGGGGTGTGCCAACTTGTCGGCCGAGTTTGACCGGGGAGTAAAATATATTGATGTGGCATTAGGCGCTATTAACTTCTTGATCTTGTGACTGTAGCCGAGGAAGGAACATGTCTCGGCCTTCGGGTTCTAGAGTCTAAAGATAAGGTTGCTAATTCTGCGAAGTTCAATATCAAATTTGGCTTTCAATGTGCCGAATGTAGTAACCCGTAACACCTTACTTTGCCGAGAAGGCTGACGAGATGATCTCTACCAATAAGGATTTAAAAATCCTTGTCGACCAAGACTTGGATAAATAACTAGTCGGTCTCGAAGCAGTGCTGTTTATCCAAACTGAAGATGCCCCTTAATCGGCTGATTCTACGGCTTCAGTGTTGTTTATCCAAACTGAAGATGTCGCCGGTTGCCTTCACAGTACTGTTTATCCAAACTGAAGATGTGTTGGTGAGAAGAAAGAGGGAGAGGATAAAATGTCAAAAGTTGTTGAGAAGTTTTACATAGGGCAATTTGTGTGTTGAATTAGAGAGCGGGTTCTCCGTCGTAAAGCATATTGTATTTATAGCATTCTTATCTTCTGCTTGGCACAGCCAGATAATAATTTTGTAGAGTCCAATTGCATCTCTAACTGATGGAATGAAAAACTGACATAAGCTAAAGCCTATCTTCCGGATGGCTATCCGTGACTTTTCAAACAAAATAAAAAACCTATCCAAGATTATCACATCATGACCAAAAGCCAAGCCTACCTAGGCTTCTTATCTCATCACCTTTAGTGGAATTATCACATCATGACCAAAGGCCTAGCCTACCTAGGCCTCTTATCTCATCACCTTTAAACCCATCCATGCATGCATCCTGATCCCCTTTCTTGAATATAAATTTGCTGCATATCCAATCCACACGTCCACACACCAGACATCCCAACTCAATTTGAACTGCACCGCTTGCTTAGGGATATAATTCACATCCTATTTATCCCGCTTAAGAATATGTTAAAGTAATTCATATTAAAAGATAATTATTATGATAAAAACCATAATATTATCCTTTAACAATAACAAAATTATCTTCACTTTTCTATCTGACGGTTGGGAGCTATGCTTATTTAACAACTTTGATTGCACGGACCAATGATGTAATTTTATTCGTAATCAATCAGTGAGCTACTTGTGGTAGGTGCTTTTTTTTTTTTTTTTTTTTTTTTTTTTTTTCGGTCATACCTATGGTAGTTATTAATCTCCCATCTTTTGCATGTGTACATTGTCTGGTAAAATACATCTATATTGAATTGGTGAGGTAACAAGTGAGCAACAACTAATTAACATTTCCTTACTTATTTCACAAGATAAGTTTGAGGGAAAATCAAATAAAGGAAAGAGCGCTCCTATATGGTCAAGTTTATCTTTTTTCCTAATTAACTTTCTAAAAACTTTTATATTACTGTGGCACCATAGTTTTTATTCATAGAATAATTTTAGAGTGGTGTTATTCTCACCCTAGTGTTTTATTCCCTCACCCACTTTTCAATGAAAATTTTAATTGCAAATTTGTTCATTTGTAAAATGGCCGATAAATACCTTAAATGA